GTGTATCACGTAGAAAAAATTAAATAAAAATGCATGTATACCACTGTGCACCATGCGCGACAGTATGAGTGCCGCGCAGCGCACTGCGCATCAGTGCGCGCGCACGGCACAGGTGCGCACCACGCACCGCGCAGCGCACCGCACTGATGCGCCACAAGTATGCTTTAAACTTTAAATGAGTCAGCCATGGCAATCAGCGAGTACAGAATCAACCATCCCCCACCCATTCTTCCCAAGAAAGAAGTCTTAAGGCATATACTCACACAAGAAATCATGATACATTGGCAAAAAATGCAAATCCAACTGGATCTATATCACTCAGCAAAGGATATTATGCAAGCAATTCGCCAATTTTCTGAGGACTGGTTGGGTAGCGAGAACGGGGGCTGGATCGCATTTATCAGATGGGAGGGCAAGACCGCCCACGAGAACAGCCAGGAGGAATTCAGACGAGACTACTGCATCCGTTTCAGAGACTGGACTGCTATGGGCCAGGAGATTCTGCTGCGACCTGCCACAGACTTCCCCGACCCCTTCCCGCCCCACCAGCTGGCGATGGTGGACATGCAATGGTACGGTGCTGACTGATTGGACAGGAACAGGAACCGGAAATTCAGCCGGAGGAACAGGAAGTAGCTGCTAAAGGAGAGACGAATGATCTGGCGGTCTAAGGCAGACTGACGAGGCGGCTCACAACCTGTCCATCACAAGTGTCTCCGGAAATCACTGCTGGAAGACGCACACGGAAGTACATTGGTCGGAAAGCCTTTCTAATGATCAGGGGCGCTGGACCCGATTTCCAGCAGGTGCACGCTTCCCTGTGCAGTTTTGTTTCTCTCTCCAATGGCCTGCTCAGTCAATCCCCTGGAATCCGGGGTAATCAATGCTGGCAGAAACTCAGGTTTTATTATAAATGGGACGCTGGACCCAGTTTCCAGCGGGGGGGGTGGGTGCAAGACGATGACTTGGGAAGTGACAGTTCAGACTGGGTGGGGGGAGGAGGAACTAGTGAGTTACAGAAGGTATCTGGCGCCGGTTCTAAGGTGTAGAGGTCCCCCCCCCCCCCTACCTCCTGCTCAGTCAATCCCCTGGATGCCAGGGTAATCAATGCTGGCAGGACTCTTCCACAATGTTTCTTGTTCTGACATGCTGCAAATTCAATCTGTATATGGGACGCTGGGCCCGTTCCCCAGCAGGTGATGCTCCCCACCAATAGATGGAGCCTCTCCCCAGGTGTTAAAAAAAAAAAAGAAAAAAAAAAAAAGAAAAAAAAAAAAGAAAAAAAAGGGCATATACTCACACACGGACACACACGGACTTTTTCAACTTACCTGTGGAAGTAATTGCGGTCAGGTGCATCCCGAGGCCTGACCGCAAAAGCAGTCAGATACAGCCAAGAAAGTCCTCATGTGAGTATGGCCTTTAGCCAAAAGACCTCTCTTTTCGTGTGGGTGAAATTGCAGCTCAAAATCGACCAAAAATGGCAAAAAACGTGATCTGATGAAGAATGCTGAGTCTGCTGACCTCTCTTTTCCTGTGGGTGAAATTGCAGTTCAAAATCGACCAATTCAAGTTGCGTCTTGCTACCGATGAGTTTGCAGCTCCTCCTCAAAGGCAGTCCATGTTACATGCCCTCCAGGGAGATCAGGTAGGCATGTGCCCCGGTGAACTGATGGTGCCTACCCTCTTCCCCTGAACAGAACGCATCCTGATAATGAATGTATACAAGCTATGTTTCCGCCAAGGTACAGCCGAAATGAGGGTGCATTATGTTCGAGGGGGACAACGGTAGCACACAGTGTGGTCTTTTGTTTTGTTTTTTTCTTGGTTGGAAAAAAACAGGCGCAGTGCCCAAGGCTTTGATTATGAATTTGGAATACAAAAGATGTTACCGGGACCCTTATCCAGCTTCGGCTTAAACGACCATTAAGTTTGGCAAATTGGCTACCATTTTTTCAAAGTCGCCGCTGCATGCTGTCACGACTTTTGGGGGCTCGGCCATTGGAGCAAAATGGCTGGCGGCGCCAGCCAAAAGGAGGCCCGCATGGGTTCATTTATATTTTTTGGCGCAAAGCGCATGTACAGCCCCGGAGGAAATTGCCTCGGAAGTACTGGTGGTTTAAGGAGTGTGACACCACCAGGCTGGAAAACGCCTCCGGCATCCCTTTCAACTAGGGTCATATACTATGATGATGAAAATGATGATCAACATTAGATTAGGAAAGTGCTCATAATCCGCAGAACTAATTACATGAATGCAAAGCCAAGAGACTCTGAGTATAACAGAGTTCTACAACTAGTAATTCCAATTCTACAACTAGTAATTCCAATTTGCAAAAAAAATGAAGTTCTGAGTGATCAATGAATCATATGATCATACTAAGACCAGTTTGTGACATTCTCTGGGCTATATATTATCCCCTATAATTGAATTGAACTCAGTTGGCACACCCTTGAAATGCTGAAATACAGACCTGCGTTTAAACTCTGCCGGATGCAAATGAGTACAATACTACAAATACTACAATTCTGAATTACCTAGGGCCCGTCTGTTTGATGATGGTATCTCAAGGCCGTCGCCCTTTGAAAGAAAAAAAAAAGCCTTTACAATTCCCAGTTGTAACTAGGAAAACCCAATGCAAGTAACAGTTATAAGACCTGCTAATACCAACTACGACAGAATTACTATTAGGACTATTAATACCAACTCGCTCAAGGCCCTAATAGAATAAGATTATAGGAGTCGTAACCAGAAACTATTTCCACCTAGACCAAACAAGTTTTATACTAGGAAGATTCATCCTACACAATGCAATGACCCTCTCAGAATCCGTAAGATACATACAAGATAAAAGAAAGAATGCTGCCATCCTTTTTTTCGACTTTGAAAAAGCCTACGACGGTACGACCAAGTCCATCGGAACTTTCTTCAACAAAGCATGGAGAAATGGGGGTAGGACCTAGGCTACCAGAGTGGCCCGGGGTCCTAATTAAAAAAAAAAAATTAAAAAAAAAAATAAACAATTTATTTTTTATTCTAAATGTGATGCAGAATTTCGATGTGACCCTGAGGCAAAAGTTGTTCAGTTTATTTTTCTGCATAACATAGTTTGTTTTCGGATTTTTTGGAGTTTGTTTTTTTTTCTTTTATTTGGCTGGGACCTTCCCTGGTCCTTGCACGGGCTGGCCACCCGGGACCCGGGCGGCCCGGCTGGTAGCCTAGGGTAGGACCACATAAGCTCTACCAAATCACCAACATAGGTTTAGAGCACTAATTCAAAATGCATCAATTTTCTCCATGCTCTGGTACAGAGCAACGATCTGGAATCCCCCCTGGCAACTCAAATCACAGCTGAGGAAAAGAGCAGCGGTGTACCTATGCACAGGGAACCCATCCAAGGAAAACTTCATATCCAAAGTAGCTACTAAAGAAACCTTAGGGCGGCTTGGGAATCCTCAACTTGGAAACACAGATTAAGGCCCTACGGAATGGATTCTCAAATTAATTATGCATAATAAGGCCCTACAGAATGGATTCTCAAATTAATCATGCATAATAACTTACCATGGACTCAACTAGCCCTACGAAAAATGCAAATTCACGGAAAAAAAAAGGAAAGTCTTTTTTTTTTTTGGGGAAACAACACGAAAACAAAAGGCAAAAAAAGGAAACAAAATGACACGCGAGAACGAAAAATATAATAATAGAAAACAAAATGACAAAAAAAAAAAAGGGGGCCGGACACAAACCGACACGGAAATGCTATCCGACGGCGGGCGCGTCGAGATATTCATCCGCATCGACACCTGCCGTGTACCTGGCCCTGTGGGCGCGCTCTCTCGTTTAGTGGCGCACTTTGAACAATTCGGCACACGCGCCACTCTGCACGCCCACCCGCCCTCGATTGCCTTCATCCGCCGGCCCGCACCGAAACCTCGACCCGCTTCCGGCGCGCAGCGGACCATCGACCTCCCCCCCGCGGCCAATGCTGCTTAAGGGGTAGGATAAAATAAAATATAATCTCAAATGTACCGTGTGACAGTGTGTGTTTGTTTTGGCTACGAAATAATGTACTATGTGTTCTTCTTGGCTATTGTATCATGCAGTGTTTTTTTTTTTGGCTAAGTTGTACTGTACGATTTGTTCCTTTTAGATCAATATTACATGTACTGCGTGTTCGTTTTGGCTATGACGTAATGTACTACGTGTTCTCTTTGGCTTTTGCGTAATGTAATATGTGTTCTTTTTGGCTATGGTGTACTGTGCTATTGGCTCCTTTTGGCTATGGCGTAATGTGCTCTGTAACCTTCAGGAAAGAACTTATCAGACGCTTACAGAACAGTATTCGAAACTTCAGAGCATTCTGCCACCTTCTCATTTCTCAGAGTCGGTCGCCACCAGGTGGGGCACCCACTTGAAGATTATTGCAAACGAATGGTTGGAGCGCGTGGTCAGGCATTGCGGAAGATTGAAAGAACAGGTGACTACCACTACCACTACCACTACTACTACTACTACTACTACTACTACTACCACGACGACGACAACGACGACGACGACCACTACTACGACTACGACTATGACTAAGGATGGCTGTCTGAATCAAATGTGCAGCCAGCTACCTCCTCTGCTCTATGTGCAAGTTTCAGTAAACAAAGAATTGTCGATAAAGAGACTACTATCACCATCTTCACCTGCAGAGAACACCCAGTCATTATCTCTGTAACTAAACAGAAAGTTGGGTAAAATACAGCTATGATAACCATGTGTCCTCTTCAGGTAAAGAGGGTAGTCCTAGCATTGCTTTCTGCTTGCAATGCCTTGCATGGAAAAGCCAAGCACGAACACGCCTACCATATATGAAAACATGCGATTGGTTTTCTCTCACAACCTGCGTTGAAGGCAAGGAGGGTCCATGGAAGGCCGCAGAGGTCAGGGGGGTGGGGGGGGTGGGGGGGTTGGGGGGTGGGGGCAAAAGGGAGAAAGCAATATGAAGCCCCACTCCCTTCTGTTAGAGTCTCTCGTGTGAAATGCTGATGTGAATCACTCAGGGCATACTCGCACTAGGACTTTTTCTACTGAGACAAGGACTTCTTCTACTAAGCTCTGGATGAGATTGCGGTCAGATAAATCCCAGGTCCGGACGCAAGTGCAGTCAGATTCACTTAAACCGCCAGTACATGGCCCCAGCCTTGTAGAAAATAATGAGCTGCCAACTCCTAATTCTTTGCGGCTTGGGGCTACCGGCCCACAATGGCTGGCAGCGCCAGCCAGAAAAGAAAAGAAGTGCACCGGTTCGGAAAAACTTGGTGCGCGGTGCAGCGCCTCCAGGCCCGGGTCTGCTGGTGGTTTAAGAAAGTGCTAGTGTGAGTATGACCTCATGGGGTTGATCGCTGTCGTCAAAGTCTTGAGTCAAGCTGGCGGCCACCTCCTGGTGGCAGTTGGCCCACCCACAAGACGCTGGTGTGGAGGGCAATACCAGCCATAATGTTTTATTCTTTTTTAAAGATACTTAGATGAAGTGTAATGCCAGACAATTTTTTTATTTTTATTTTTTATTTTTTTATTAATTTTTTTTTTGTGGTCCGATGGACCACAGATCAGATATTAAACTGATCAGAACAGATACTACACTTGATCTTAGCCAAAAGGCCGAGAAAGGTATTAAAATTTTAGTAGAGGGTCAAGCGCAAATTCTGCTGTCCAGCTTGAGAATGGAGACAAGGGTGATCAGCTGATAATGACTTTGGTCCTCGCCACACCACTCCTGAAATCGGTGTTTCTGGGAGTGCCAGCATTGCCACATATGCTCTCGGATTCAACTACTGAAAGTGAGTTCGAGAGCTGTCAGAGACGGGGACGCGAGAGTACTTTCGAGCTTCCTTTTGGTGCCTGCCTGCAAATTGCCATTTTCCAATTTTGGAGATACCTTGGGCCGACCTCCAAGTCCGGTCTTGAAATTCCCGGGTGGACCGTGAAGGACAAGAGTGTTATGTCAGGCTTCAATTGTCAGGAAGTGGACTCTGTCAATTTTTGAACTCGTGAGCGGCCCGTTCGAGAGCCCAGTGTGGCGAAGGGCACTCTCGAACGGGACTTAACGAATTTCAATACTTGAGAGCACTCCTGAAAACTTTGTCCAATTCAGGAGTGGTTTGGCGAGGCCCTTTATGTTTTTCTGTTTGCGGGAAGAGAGGGGAGGAGGTGGTTTTAAACTTTTTACTGCATGTGGAAGGACTTGTCAGAACTACATTTCTTAAATTGAATTTTGGGGACTGCCTATTTCTCAGTGCATTTCCTCTTTAGTACTTTTGTTCTACAACTTGTACCTTCTTTTTTTTTTTGTACTTAATAGCCACATGACCTGTCGTCTTCTCCCCCCCAAACACAACACATCCTCATCATGAATGTATGCAACCTAATATCTTTCTGGTCAGAGGTACATGCCGCTGTTGTTGCCAATGGTCTACTCTCCCCCCCCCCCCCCCCCCCCCCCCCCCCCCCCCCCCCCCCCCCGCTTTTTTTTCCCCCCCTGGGGGCTGTTTTTTTTTTTTTTTTTTTCCAAAATTCCCCCCCTTTTTTTCTTTTTTTTCTTTTTTTTCTTTTGTTCGCACCTAACCCCCCCCCATTGCTTTTTTTTCTTTTTTTTTTTTTTTTTTTTTTTTTTTTTGAAACACCCCCACCAGTGTTAGTGGTGCTGATAAGAGCAGACACCACTAGCACCTGGGGAGAGGCTCCATCTATTGGTGGGGAGCATCACCTACTGGAAAATGGGTCCAGCGTCCCATATACAGACTGAAATTAGAGTACATAAGAGAAAACAATGTAGGAAGTTCCTGCCAGCATTGATTACCCTGGGATCCAGGGGATTGACTGAGCAGGACATTGAGAACATCTGAAGACAGTCCTGCCAGCATTGATTACCCTGGAATACAGGGGATTGACTGCTGCTCTACTTTCCTTATTCTTTGAATCCCTTGTTTACTTGAGCATGCCCCTCGCTGCACCATTTCTTTGAATACCCCTTCAAGTTTTTGCAGCCTTTCGGAATGTCCTTGTTTCTCTTTTCCACAATCTGCATTTCACTTGTATGCCTTTTAAAAAAAAAACTAAAAAAATAAAATAAAAATGGATAACAGGACCTTGACTAGGGGACCTTTACGAGGGGGGTTGGTACGCGCAGCCTCCCTTAGTAAGGTCAGTTGTTGCTCTGTTCCGTTGATGGGGAGCATCACCTGCTGGGAAATGGGCCCAGCGCGTTCCATTACAGACTTTGACAGACTTTTGCGATACGTCAATTGATATGGCCTGCCAGCATTGTATGCCTTCTTGAGAATTGTTTTTGACAATTTTGTAGTACGTGGTCGATAACATGAAGTTGTTTGCAAATCCCTTTGGCACTTACATCATTACATGTTATTTATATTGAGTAATAGTAACAGAAATAATTATGTCATCCTTGCTGAAACACCCTCTCTCCAACCCTTAAACCACCAGTGCTTGGCCCAGCTATCGACCGCAGAAAAAAAATAGAGTACAAACGTTTCTAGTTGGATGAATTTGGGTGCTCCTGTAGTGGCCCGTACATTTCCTAAAATTGTGGCGTGTTAACGGGCACGACTTTAGGAAGTACCGGTGGTTTAATGTTTCTATTTGAGTCCAGAAATAGCTTCCCTTACTTCGCCTGTAACTGACTAACTCATTCTTTTTTTTTCTTTTTTTCTTTTTTTCTTTTTTATTGGAACATGCTCCAATCTATTCGTGGGGAACAGCACGTGCTGGGAACCGGGCCCAGCGTCCCATTCAAGATCATATTGAGAAATTGAGAAATTTATGGGAAAATCCTTGAGGTACCGGGGCCATTACCCGGCTTCGGCTAAGAAAGACAACTGTGTACAAGAACACTAAAAATTCTCTAGCCTCCAAAGCTCGGATCAAAGGAACATTCAGAACGAAAGAACCACCTACTTTAGAGCCGTTTGGCAACCGAACCCTACCTGCATCACCCCTATATCCCGATGCCCAATCTCTACGAGGCCTCATGCCCCCAACTGCTAGTTTACAGGGTGGCACGACCCAACCCAGAAACCCCCCACCTGCTGGGCCACAGGGCAAAGCGACCCGCCCCGGCTCCGGCCAGCATCGGCTAGGCACCAGCTCACGAAAAGACACTAGAGTGCCTTCCACCCTCGACACTGACTAACTCATTCTGACTATGAGAGTCTGATAGTTTTCTCTTTCCTTTTTTGGTTTGGCTTGGATGGAAGGGCAGGAAGTTGAGATCGACAAGAATGCTCAAGGACTTTATGTGCTCCTGGAAGAAGATGTTCGCAAGTACGAAGAGAACCCGACTGATTCCACTGTAGCTTCACTACAGGTGAGCGAGTTAATGTCCTTCATTGGCTGGCAGTCGTACTTGCTTTCTGGAAAGGCTTCAACGAGTACGGGGGATAGAGGAACGGTCCTGCATGCAGCTTATCATCAATTCAATTGAGGAAAATGGCAGTTTTCAAGCAAAAACATTTTGGTGCCCTACCAGTAGCTGAGAAGAACAAATCCTGCCCCTTAAAGCGCCAGTACCCCGGGGGTGACAGCATGAAAACCGTACTACTTTGGAGGCGGCCGTTTTTTCTTTTCAACGGCGCCCCCTGGGCGTGCCGTGCCTCCGAGTTTTGCTTGTGGCGACAAAAACTTTCAGCAAGGCTGGGGCCAGGTACTAGCGGTTTAAGGAGCATCGGCCACAGAGGTAGGGTCAACAGCATAAATAATCAAGAATGCCAGCTGATCTTTTGGTCGGACGGCTGAAAGGTGATCATAGAAGAGCTGAACGAAATGCCAGAGTGCCTTGTATAGGCTGGTGGGCCACCTTTGATGTGAGGGACACCAGGCCCGTTCCACGGCGGTTATAATCCAGCCTTAAGTACTGGGCCCGTTGCTTAAAAAAAAAAGAAAAACTATGATTAGATATTCAGCCCAATGGTAAGTTTGGAGGTACCCGGGTTGGAGCCTGGGCCTGATTAGCAGGAGTTAGTGAAGCTGTGTGTCCATGAGAGCCCTTAGGTCAACATGATCCCTGGCCATGTGCACGTGCAGAGAGGTTTTCTTTTTCTTTTTTTTTTTTTCTTTTTTTTTTCTTTTTTTTTTGCAGAGAGGTTTTCCACCAAACTGTTCATTGCATCCTACTCAAAGAGGGTGCAGCGTTGAGCACAGGTGGCACACACAACTTCCACGGATTGCCGCAAATAATTGCAACGGTGATCCTCCAATTGGACAATCTGTCTTTATGGTCGTTGTCACTTTGTTTTCTTCTTTGTCTCTTTTTTTTTTTTTTTTTTTTTTTTTTTTTGGGAAGAAATGTGGCATTTATTAACATCAGGACAGATCAGAGGCCGGGAATCCTCACAAACAACCCAGATAGAAATCTGGGCCCATTACCAAGCTTGGGCTAATGCTGGAAACCAGGTCCAGCATCCCTTTACGTTCCCTCAGGAAAAATTATTCCAACAAAGCACAAACAAACACCTTGATCTATTATAAAAGGGTAAATTCTTACCATTGGCTAACTTAGGCAGGGGTGAGGGGTGGTACATCCTTCCCAAAGGAAGCAATCAATGCTGTCCACTCGGGCCTCCCAGCCATAATGGGGAGGAGCGTGCGTATGTTTCAATGTACTCATTATTGACTTGCAGGGGGATAGGAACCGGACTGTTGCTCCCCAGAATGGTAGGGGTCAGAACTGAGAAGTTCTCAAAAAAAAAAAAAAAAAAAAAAAAAACCTACCTTGAAGCTCAGATCAAAGGAAAACCTTTCATATCCAAATATGCGATCAGAACTAGCTTAGGAAACTCAATTTTGAGCAAAACTCCTATAGCCTACCTTAGAGCAGGCTATAGATGATTATTCTGTAAAAAGTAAGAGCTGGAAACCAGGTCCAGCGTTCCATTCAAGCCTTGAGGGCATTTGCGAAGTTGAATTTTTGAAGAAGAGTGACTCGAATAACTCAGATGTATCGAAATCCCGTCAGAGCAGAGCAATCTCCTCAGTCCTTATGGAATGGATAGATCTGCTAGACAGATAGGTTTATCTGGCGGCTCAATTGGGCTGAAGAGGCAGGTTTCTACTTTCATCTTACAATGTCCTGTTCTGAATAATCATGTAAGGGACGCTGGACCCGGTTTCCAGCAGGTGTTGCTCCCCACCAATAGATGGAGCCAGCCCCAGGTGTGCTAGAGGTGCCTGCTCCTATCAGCACTCCTAGCACCCAAGGGAATTTAAAAAAAAAAAAA